AATTTTCTGTAATAGTTGGAAATGACAACATTGCTGAAACTGATTCATTCTTTTCATGTCCAGATCCTTCATGTCGGAAGATATTTGCCAAGTGTTTCAGTCTTGAAAGACATTTAGCAATAGGAAATCATTCCTATCACACAAATGCATGTACAAGTATGGATGAAGCTGTAAATATGTATGCATCAAAATGTAAAACACTCAGGGGATCAAATAATTTGTTACTGTCAACATTTACAACAGATAATGAACTTAATATCAATATTGATAAAGAAGACAGAATTGGATAGGCTATAAAGAACAAGAAAAAATCAACCAGATTCTCCCTACAAGTGAAAGATTACTTTATTCAAATATGTGAAGCTTGTGATAAAACTGGAAAACGTCTAGATTGTGGTTCTTTATCAGAAGAAATTAAGAAAGCTTCCAATGAAAATGGGGAAAACACTTTTCAAAAAAGAAGAATGGTTGAGCAGCACACAAATTAAAGGATTCATTGCAGCCTATCTGACCATGATAACACTTCACCTCCTCCATCCAAAAAAAAATCAGTTTCTCAAAATAAATGTGTGTTTGAAGAAGTAATAAAATTGAGAATGGAAAGAATGGAAGATTATGAGAAACTTACTGAAATTGTAACAGCTTTAGAGACGGACGACTACAATGAAAATATGCATAATATGGTTCACTATATTTTCTTAGCTATAAATATACAATCATAATTATAGTCTCTCAGTATAGATACACAACTGTAGATATTTTCATTGTTTTATTACTTTAAGGATGTATTTATAGGTCAGGTTTAGAATTTGTGTCAAATTTTCGGCTCCTTGGTTTCTTTCCTACGATACAGGGTAAAATATTTTGCCCCCATAACTCACATTTTGTGCAGATTCTGAATTTCTTTTCTTTCGATTTCAGAACCAAATAATACCAATGAAAATATAAGGTAAAAGTCTGAGTCAGCCTTTTTTAGCTATTTTGAAAAAAAAATATCTCGAAAAGGAGCTCCATAACCTATCAATAATTTTGGCTTATCTTGTTCCTTAACTAATGTTCCTCTTACTTATTCTACATGTACTTTAAGTCTATTGTATCAATTTTTTTAATTCTAGATTTTTTTAATTTCACCAAAGTACATCCTTAATTTCAATCAGTTCAGCTGTTATAATGCATGATTCATTGATCTACATTAAGTTTTATAGTTACACCAGTTTCAAAAGAATTATAAATCATATGTATTTTTTTTTAAATCAATGTTGAATGTATTTGTCCACCTTACATGTTTCATGTGCCCTTAACCGTACATTCATAGATGTTTCGTGATTTGTAAATCTAAAATGACCTTCCTCATAATATTTAATCCTAATCAGTGGAGCAGTAAATACATTTCACGTGTGCACTCTTGTTTATATATCAGATTCAAAATAAATAGACATAAACTTAAAAAAGAAAATGATCAGCAATTTGACTAAAACCATTACTTCACTTTCTACAAGGTTGATTTATTGTCCTTAAATGAATATTTTTCTGAATTTCTTGCATTTTTACCTATTATCTTCAAAACTGAAACTGATTGAAGGCAATATTAAACACCAAAAACTTTCCGCCATAAAAGATGAATAAAAAATAAGGAAACATTTTTTTTTGCCAGATAAGTATATGGCTTTTTTTTTTATTAAATGGATTTTTAAGGAACCTTCGAGTCTCTAGGTGTTTTTCATATTTAAAGTTTTTTTTATGATTTATAACTTGACAATTGATGGACACCTGTATATTGCTAACAAGTACATATATGTGTTGACCGCTGGGTGTGTTTTTGGTTATTTGTGTTGTTGACCTGATAGCTTGCTGTCTCTTTGAGGTATGCATCTCCCTTTATTCTTTTTAATTGGTAATATGCTCTTCTTTGAGTTTGCAATGCTTAATGTGCAAGATTCTCTGAGTAGTTTGACTAATTTAGGTGTCAAAGAAGATAACATCATTTCGTGGAATTTTCGTTAAATGAAAATTTTTCATTAAAATAATGACTTGAATTGAATAATTTTTTTTATTTTGAATTATAATAGATATAACTGTGTTTTATTTACAGCTTTGCAGATGTTCATCTGTAGTTTTACGCGTCGCTAATTTGCGACAGTAAAACTACCAATGGACGTCCGCAAAGCTTCAAATACAATACAGTTATATCTATTCTAATAGTCCTGAATATAATAAAAAATCTTTTTACTAATTTGATATTCTGGCTGATGTTAAATATTGTAGTAGTTTCTGATTCCTTTTTTTCAGATTTTCAAGTCTTATTTCAGATAACAAGGTTAAACATTTGATAAAGTTTACTAAAATTATGATTTTGAAATTACTTTTTTTTATAGTTTAGTTTGTTTAATCACAATGCAAAATAGGAGTTATCTACTTTTATTTCAAGTATGAAATCACTAAAATGATAAAACATTTAAAGTACTTATCTCCTTACTAAATTTATATAAAAGATGGTATTTTATATCCAGCATATTAACATTTCTGATTTTCTGGTTTTCTTTGAGACAAGCTTTAAGACTATTTATTTTTATTACTCAATTTTACCTATTGTTTGTTTAAAAAAATGAAAAAAGTGATTTACATCAGTACAAATACATGTATGTGTCAATTATGTACAGCTACTTGATTATTTTTTTCAGTTCTTTTTGTTAACTCAAAATATGCACTGGGCTAATTGTTTTATCAAAAAGATAGGACACTTTTTATTTCTTACAAACAATACACAGGTTACACTGCTCCCTGTCTAAGTTCTTAATGACATTTATGAAAGATATAAAAACAAAAAATTAACACAATTAAAAAGCAATTGTTCAGAGAACAATTGAAGGTCTTTCCACCCATAAAGATCAATTTTGATATTGAAATATTAAAACTCAGTTAGATATATCATATCCAGCGTCAAATGATAGCTTATTGACACTGATTCCAAAAATGTATGGTTTCTATACATTTGTTCTCAATAAGGGAGATGAATTGTTACTTCCGGTTTGAAAAATGTCACTTCCGGTTTTATTGATAGTTTACTTAATACTGATTCCAAAAATATATGGTTCAGTATACTTTTACATTAAATAAGTACAAAAAATAGCTACTTCCGGTTTACACCAGGTCACTTCCGGTTGGCTCCTCCATAGTCAAGTGGCTTGCAAAAAGTCCCATGGCTTTATCATGTATACATATGAGGTAAAAACAAAGGTCAGAATCTAGAACGTCAATTTTACCTATGACCTTGAGCTCAATTTCAAGGTCATAAACCAAGGGCTTCAAATCAAAAGACTATAGGTCTTAATTATATATGGTTAATGAGTTATATCACTATATGCTTAACTTTTAATAAAACAGGGGAGAAAACTCCAATTTAATGTTAGCGTACCCTTTTAACAAAAATGTATGTGTTACGACATGTCGCAACTTACAATTTAGTAAAAATATGTTGTCGATATCTTATACGGTTTTTGAAAAGAATTGAAAATAGCCAAAATCACAATTTAAAATATGACCTTGACCTCTGACCTTGACCTAATTTTCTTATTTTTGGATCAAGGACCTCAAATCAAAAGATCCTAGGTCTCTATCACTTATGGTTTACAAGATAGAAATGCATAAGGGGAAATAACTCTCATATGGAATATTCATATCGCTTCGGTCAAAATAGGACAAATCACAAAGGATATAACGAGCAATTTTATAAAATAAATTTGTCGCTTTCTTTTACAGTTACGGAGGAGATGCAGTCACAAGGAAAACAGTGTTCGGGGAGATGACTCCTACAAAGAAAATTGTTCGGCTTAGAATGGGTGAAAATAAAAAGCGCATAAACTGTATGATACTATATAAGATTAATCTAAGCGACATCTTGCGAAACAAAAATTTTACGCGAGATCAAAATTTGGCGGAAGAAAATTATTATAATAATAATCAGAACAAATACAATAGGTCTTTCCACAGAAACAAATAAGCTTTCTTATGTGAGGATAAAAAGTTAATAACTAACTGTCGGTACAAAATCTCATCCTCTGTTTTCCTCAAATGTGATCACCTACCACATAAGCCTTATTACCGTGCTTGTACTTACATGTTTTTTTTCTTCAAAACATCCTTTCCACAATGAAATGAAACTACTTATAACATTATTGTTATTTCAATTAAGACAACTTATTTTTAATATCAAGCTCACCTATTGTTTGTTAAAAAATTGTGATTTACATTTGTACAAACGAATGTATGTGTCCATTATGTAGAGCTTCTTGATCATAACTTTCTTTTTGTTCAGCTCTTTATTGGTAACTGAAAATCGCCACAGGGTTTACACTGCTCCTAGTATAAGTTCTTAATTACATAAATTTATTAAAGATATAAAAAAAAAAATTCACAAAAATAATTTATAACCAATTATCGTAACCACAATCCCACCCTCTCTTTTTCTCTAATTTGGCCTACCGAATCAGACTTATCACCGTGCTTGTCCTTACATGAGCAACACGACGGGTGCCACACGTGGAGCAGGATCTGCTGACCCTTCCGGAACACCTGAGATCACCCCGGTGTTTGGTGGTGTTCATGTTGCTCAGTCTTTAGTTTTCTATATTGTGTTTTGTATACTGTTGTTTGTCTTTTGGTCGTTCTCGTTTTTCGCCATGGCGTTGTCATTTTATTTTCGAATTGTGATTTAAATGTCAGTTTGGTATCCGTCGCCTCTGGTTTTTTTTATACAAACGTTCTTTAGTATCACAGTATAGAATGCAATCATAAGTAATCCAAAGTATTTATGATTACTTCAAAGAAAAGTAATCTCGTTTAATCGATTACGTTTGAATTTAGGTATGATTGTCATTGATTACATTAAATTAACAACGTAATTGTAATGTTATCGAATACATTTTAAAGAATTCGACCCCATCTTTGTTCATGCAGATAACTTGAAATGACAAGTTCATCAGATAAAAGTAAAATGTTACCTATAGCTAGGAGAACAATAGCGAATACAAATGTCGTGCTGTTCATTTTGAAGAAAATTTCTGAAATAAAAAGTAAAAGTATCACATACTACCACAACTTATGAATATAAAAAAATTGAAACAGATAAAATAAATAACAAAAGAAAACATTCTTTCAATAAAACGTCTAGATACCCTTACGTAAAGCCTAAAGGATTTTCGACAAAACTAACCTTTAAGATAGACACTGAAAATTACAATAAACATTGAAAACTGTGTTTGGCTTCCGGTTATCATTGTAACTCACACATTCCGTTTTTCCTACTATAAATATTGATAAATGTGAAATAATGGAACTTGTCATTTTTCTAACAAATACCTGTCCCCAACATATACGATTTAAATAAAAGCCAAATATATTAAACAAAAAACAGAAATGTACAAATCAGTTTCAAATGGTGCTTTAGACAATATCCCAGATAAAGTTGAGTCTGACATAGCATGACGTACGCCTACAAATTGTAGGGAAACAAACCTTACAGGAAATGGTTGATTTTAAATTTTTCCTTTGCTTACGTTCCAATTTTATGGAACAATATTCCAGCACTATTGGCATATGTGATAAAAATATCCAAAGAAATAGGATGTTCAAATGCAGAATTGATTGATTGAGATTTACTACTTACACGGAATCTAATAAACAAATAGAAAGGTTAAGTTGTAATAAGTTTTTAGCATTATTGTGGTATCTTTCAAAATCAGCGAACCTTACTAAAAATAGTTTTTCCGCTCTTTTGGACATACCTCATGGATATGGTATCCACTTAACCCAGAAGTTGCATTTGTGGCATTATTTTAGATTCAAACAAACGAAAATATATCAACATTAAGCTATGAACTCATGCACTCCGGAAGTGAAAGCAATTCCTGCTCCACTAAATCGCTCTTACAATCGCAATGTATTTATGGTTGTTATTCGACTGGACGAAAATCGCGTTGAATTTCACTTTGATGAAGTGGATATTCATTAAAGGTGGCTCTGCCCTTAAACAGTGCGCAGTTTTTAACGACACATGAGTGTCTGAGAGCACCTTTTCCCGATGTCAACAAGCGATGCAAAACTGTTTGCAAAAAACGAGGTCTGGTCAGAAATACAGAGTGATTTGTTAATTTTTCACATTAAATTTTAAAAGGACAGAGATATAAGCATGGTGTTGTGTATTAAAAAGAAGAAGACAAATTGACATGTTTGTACGACTGCCAATGACCCAACAATTAAACGGTAACAAAGGACAACAATGTAAGCAACTGAATGTTACCGTACCGCATTAAAAAACGAATAAACCCCATATAATATGCTATAAAAGGCTTCGGGGGTTCATCTGCACGCTTTAAGTTTTTATTACATTTTTTCACTGTCATGAACTTTTTTTTAACTTGAATATCTTCATGTTCAAGCATTCGTCAGGAGTTCATTCCGAAGTATGCAAAATATTTTTCACAACAAAAGTTTTGGTTATAGTTAGATATTTTGAACATAACAATTTTCAAGTAAAGAATAAATACTTGACATCCACATCCAACATTTAAATTTTACACATTTATATTCTTCATCAATCACGGGCACGAAAAAGTACTTTTAAAAACCACTGTCTTTTAACTTGGAAGGTTTTGTTTTTGTATTTGTTAGCGTAAAGAGGATATCTAACAAATTCTCTCATACCATAATTCGATGATTTCCGGAACTCTAATCTTATAACATATGACCTGGGGGCAACGTTTTCTATTTCCTTGTTTTGCTATTTGTGTTTTTTCATTTTTTATTTTCTGTTTTATCCATTAATGTGCCAACCGAGTTCTCATAAAAGTAAACATCAGCGTAAAATGGTTAAGAATTGAATAAGAATGTGTATCCGGAACTCGGTCAACACATTTCACTTAATTGAATATTTGTTTCTCTTGTCCACCTTTGATCATAGATGAAAATTGATATATACTAACCTGGACCTATTATTCCGACCTTATATATCGGTCTATGCTATTACTTTGCGTTGAATCGCTAAATCTTTGGTTTGACTCGGTCTGGGGGGATTTAGACTAGGACCCCCATAGTCTCGGGGGGCGATTCCAAAAAATACCAGCTAAAGGTTTTATATAAAAACAAAATTTATACTACTAACTTGGTTCAGGAAAAGTTGGGAATGTAATTTCAAAATTCCGCCGAGTACACACGCTAAATTAGTCGGTGGTATAGGCAAACGTCATCTTCAGTCTTACGATTTTGAAATCGTCTTTATTGAAAAGGGAAGCAAATAAGGAAAGTTCTTGATTTGAAAAATGAATGTAGAGTACATCATTGCGGCAAAAAAATTTAATGGCAAATTTCTTTACGGTGTGTGGACACTGGTTCGCCCAATGGGCACAAGGTGTGAAGTAACGTAATTGTCGGTCTGTGATGATTATAAGGAGATGGCAATTTTTTTATTGAATAGCAGAAAAATGAATAGTTTCGACGATTTTTCAACGAATAAAGTTCCATAATTTCGAAATGTCATATCCAAAATTTAAAAACAAAACAAAGAGAGCCGATTTCAATTGATTTTAACAAGTCACTTAAGTTTCATAAAAACTGCTCAAAGCGTTTTTTGAGTTATTGTCCGGAAAATCTCCCCTTTTTATGAAAAAAGTCTAAATACTACAAAAAGTAAAATTACAAACTTTCAAAAGTTCAAAGGGAACTTATGTCAAAATAGTAAAATAACAAAAATACCAAACTCCAAAGAAATTCAAATGGGAAAGTCCCGTGTCCAATGGTAAAATCAAAAGCTCAAAACACATCAAACGAATGGAAAAACAACTGTCATATTCCTGACTCGGTACAGGCATTTTCTCATGTAGAAAACAGTGGATTAAACCTGGTTTGTATAGCTAGCTACACCTCTCACTTGTATGACAGTAGCATAAAATTCCATTATATTGACAACAATATGTGAACAAAACAAACAGACATAATAGGTAAACATATCAAAAATAGGGGTACAGCAGTCAACATTGTATTATAATCTTAATCACTATAAAAACAAACAAATATGTTAACAAAGAAAAACAAAATGCCATATAGACAAAGCACATAAGAAAAAATGAATGACAAAGAATACAAAAAATGACAACAGCACAACACAACGACGGGATGCATAAGTACCGAACCACGCCAAAAGGATGTTACCAAAAGTGAAATAAACAGTAAAGGTTTATAATTTACAAAGACAAATAATAAACAAATACTATAACACGTAATTAAGGTGATAAACAACGTCAGTACCTAGAATCTATACTTCAAGACCATCATGTATTAATTTTGAAGTTGATACGGAATATTTATCAACAAGGTCTTGGTATCTTCCGATGAACCTTTTTTTTAGACTTCCCTAGTTCGACAGATAAACCGTTGCTTAGACAGGGTGTTCATACAGCTGGATATATAAATACGCAGCTTTGTAGGGTAAATAAAGGGTGAATAAATGGGGAAATTTGCCCATATCCAACATACATTGTACCATCATTACCTAGTTGCAGTCCATATATCTCGCCCTTCCTACATATGGTACTAATCATTAATATGCTCTCATCCTTAATATGCTTAAGATATTTGTCGTTGGACATTCAGCAAGCAACAATAAAACTTTAAGTGCAACATATACAAAGAACTTGCACACATCTCTCCGACCTTTGTAATTGAAAGTTTACTTTAATAAAATTTGCCAAAGCAATCTATTAAGTTCATGATAAAAATTATTTGAGGGGCACCTTAGACCTTAAATATCACAGTTGTATTCTCTGTAAGACCAACACAATTTGCCAAATGTGAAAAATGGTGAGTAGACAGACTTGTTGGTGTTACAAACATTGGATTTGCTTTCAACCGTGATAGATGTGTTTTGTGAAATCAATCTCATAACACTAAATATGGAAAAAAATAAGTTCTTTAAAAATATTGAAAAGAAAACGGTGTGAACTATCAGGACTTGTTTCAATACAAAGACATGAGAAGTATCAGGATAGATAACAATTTTTCAAGTTGTTACCACAGATTCCTATATACATCTACATGTACATGTACAAAATGTATGGTAGTCACAGTTTTAAACACTTTTATTTTTATGTTAACAAGAGTGCACAAGATGTAGTGTCTCACCTGCTTTACTAATCATAATTGATTTTATGTTGATATTTCTAAAGTTAAAGATGTACTACAAGTATCATAAAGCTTAATATTATCAATGATCAATGAAAATGAGATCAAGGTAAGATAAACCAAGCCAGCCATACAATCATTTCATACACCAAATATTGTTGAACTATAGCATATATAGTATACAAGAAACACACCAAACTTTGCACATGAGGTTAAGTTCAGATGAACCCTGCCAGACAGACATGTACACCTAAAAATCATCCCATACACCAAATATAGTTGACCTATTGCTTATAGTATCTTAGAAGAGTAACTTGTTCTGTTTGGTTGCTGTTTCACTGAACTATATTCCAAATCTCCTTATATCCAGAAAAGACGTTTGAAATAGTTACTTATTAGCATATGAATGGACAACAAATGCCAAATGATGTAAAATAATTTAAGTGGCCATTTGGGTAAGGTGGTGGTGGGTATGGTAAAAGATGACGGAAAGGCATGTGCATCTACTACAACTTCCACCTGATATTATGATTTCCAAAGTATACAAATACCAACAGCTTTATTTTGTAAGACAACTACATATATTGCAGTTTGCATGTTATGTACATATATCATGTTTGCAGCAAAATTTAGTACAGACAGCAAAAAATAAATTAAAACATATCTATTAAAAAAAAGTTGATTAATTTTTTGAAACATCTTTGATTTTTTTCTTTAAATCGTCTATGAGATCAAAGATATTAAACAGTATTTACATTGTATATACATGTCAATTATTATTTCATCAGCTCCATATTTGCACTATTTTTATATCAATATATATTTTTTAAATTTCTTTCTAAGTGTTCTTTAAAAGACTCAATATGCTGTATTGATCATTTAGACA